GGGGTCTTCGTGTTGGTCCCTCAGCACGTTATTGGGCTCGTGGCTCGGTCGTGGTGACCCCATGGCGTGTCCCCATTGTCCTCGAGCCATCCCTGGTGGCCTCAAGCCGTCCTTGGTGGCCCCAAGTTGGTCCTGGTGGCCCCACGGGAGCTTTGGTGGGACTTGGTCAGGTTTGGGTTGACCCCGGGGTCTTCACGTTTGGTCCCTCAGCACGTTATGGGGTCCGTGGCTTGGTTGTGCTGACCCTGTGGCATGTCCCCAAGGTGACCCCATTGTCCTCAAGCCATTCCTGGTGGCCCCAAGCTGTTCCTGGTGTGCCCAACCCATCCTTGGTGTCCCTCAAATCCCTCTACTTCATCTGTGGGTCTCCCCGTTGGCTCCGCGACCCGTTGTTGGCCCCATGGCCTGGTCCAGCAGAGCCCACAGCGTGTCCCCAATGTTCTCAAGCCAGCCGTGGTGTCCCCAAGCTGTTCCTGGTGGTCCCAACCCATCCTTGGTGTCCCTCAAGCCCCTCTACTTCAGCTGTGGGTCTCCCCGTTGGCTCCGTGACCCGTTGTTGGCCCCATGGCCTGGTCCAGCAGAGCCCACAGCGTGTCCCCAGAGATCTGGTCCTGTCCCTGCGGATCTCCGGATGTCCCCACCGTTTGTCCTTCCGCGTCCTTAGATACTTCCGCAACCTCTGCTCGGACGACACCCCCATGGTCCGTCGCGCCGCCGCTTCCAAACTGGGAGAATTCGCCAAAGTTTTGGAGCTGGAGCATGTCAAGAGCGAGATCATCCCCATGTTCTCCAACCTCGCCTCCGACGAGCAGGTCCGGTGGAGGTCCCACCCCCCTCCTGGGCCACCTCTGTCCCTTTGGGGTGAGGGACTGGGGGGGGGTTCCCGGTGGCCGGGTCCCCTCCCGAACTCTTAGGTCCTCTTCCCGGTAGGATTCGGTGCGGCTGTTGGCGGTGGAAGCTTGCGTGAGCATCGCCCAGTTGCTGCCCCAGGAGGAACTGGAAGGACTGGTGATGCCCACCTTGCGACAAGCGGCCGAGGACAAGTCCTGGCGCGTCCGGTACATGGTGGCCGATAAGTTCACCGAGGTGGGGACGCCCTTGGGGACGCTTTGGGGACGGTTGGGGACCCTCCTGAAGGCATCTGGAGATGTTTTGGGACCCCCGTGGGGCTGTTTGGGGACATCTGGGGACACTTTTGGGGACATCATGGAGGAATATTTGGGGGGAGGTCCGTGGGGACATTTGGGGACACTTTGGAGACACCCCTGGGGGTGTTTGGGGACACAGTTGGGGTGGCCGGTAAGTTCCCCGAGGTGGGGACACCCTTGGGGACGGTTGGGGACCCTCCTGAAGGCATCTGGAGATGTTTTGGGACCCCCGTGGGGACCTTTGGGGACGCTTGGGGACATTTGGGGACACATTTGGGGACATTACGGAGGACTGTTTCGTGGGGGACAGTTGAGGACACCCGTGGGGACGTTCGGGGCCACTTTAGGGCCACCCCTTGGGGGGGTTTGGGGGACGTTTGGAGGAACGTTGGGAGATGTTTGAAGGCCACGTGGGGACGTTTTGGAGGGATGGGTGGGATGGTGGGGGGGGGGGGGATGGGACATATGGGGGACCCCTTATTTGGGGACATTTGGGGACACCCCCCGGGGATCTGGTTGACCTTCTGCTCCTTTGTCCTCCAGCTCCAACGAGCCGTTGGCCCCGAGATCACCAAGACGGACCTGGTGGGGGCCTTCCAGAGCCTGATGAAGGACTGCGAGGCCGAAGTGCGGGCGGCCGCCTCCCACAAGGTCAAAGGTCAGCTGGGACCACGCCCCACCCCGGGTGGTCCCCGTGTCCCCAAGGGTGGTCCTTGTGGCCTCGGAGATGGGTCCTGGGTCACCGTGTTCCCCTAGACGGTCTTCAAAGAGGGTTCCTGGAGACCCCCATGTCCCTGAGGACTATCCCCAGGTCCCTCATGTCCCCAGGGATGGTCCCCGTGTCCCCAAGGACCATCCCCAGGTCCCCATGTCCTCAAGGGTGGTCCTTGTGGCCTCGGAGATGGGTCCTTGGTCATCGTGTTCCCGTAGACGGTCTTCAAAGAGGGTTCCTGGAGACACCCATGTCCCTGAGGACCATCCCCAGGTCCCTCATGTCCCCAGGGGTGGTCCCCGTGTCCCTGAGGACCATCTCCAGGTCCCCGTGTCCCCAAGGAGGGTCGTTGTGGCCTCAGAGGTGGACCCTGAGTCACCGTGTCCCCAGAGAAGGTCCTCAAGGAGGGTTCCTGGAGACCCCCATGTCCCCGAGGACCGTCCCCAGCTCCCTCATGTCCCCAGGGGTGGTCCCCGTGTCCCTGAGGACCATCTCCAGGTCCCCGTGTCCCCAAGGAGGGTCGTTGTGGCCTCAGAGGTGGACCCTGAGTCACCGTGTCCCCAGAGAAGGTCCTCAAGGAGGGTTCCTGGAGACCCCCATGTCCCCGAGTACCGTCCCCAGCTCCCTCATGTCCCCAGGGGTGGTCCCCGTGTCCCTGAGGACCATCTCCAGGTCCCCGTGTCCCCAAGGAGGGTCGTTGTGGCCTCAGAGGTGGACCCTGAGTCACCGTGTCCCCAGAGAAGGTCCTCAAGGAGGGTTCCTGGAGACCCCCATGTCCCCGAGTACCGTCCCCAGCTCCCTCATGTCCCCAGGGGTGGTCCCCGTGTCCCTGAGGACCATCTCCAGGTCCCCGTGTCCCCAAGGAGGGTCGTTGTGGCCTCAGAGGTGGACCCTGAGTCACCGTGTCCCCAGAGAAGGTCCTCAAGGAGGGTTCCTGGAGACCCCCATGTCCCCGAGGACCATCCGCAGGTCCCCGTGTCCCCAAGGGTGGTCCCCGTGTCCCCAGGGACCATCCCCAGGTCCCCATGTCCCCAAGGGTGGTCTTTGTGGCCTCGGAGATGGGTCCTTGGTCATCGTGTTCCCGTAGACGGTCTTCAAAGAGGGTTCCTGGAGACCCCCATGTCCCTGAGGACCATCCCCAGGTCCCCATGTCCCCAAGGGTGGTCCTTGTGGCCTCAGAGATGGGTCCTTGGTCATCGTGTTCCCGTAGACGGTCTTCAAAGAGGGTTCCTGGAGACCCCCATGTCCCTGAGGACCATCCCCAGGTCCCCATGTCCCCAAGGGTGGTCCCCGTGTCCCCAAGGGTGGTCCTTGTGGCCCCAAGGACCATCCCTATGTCCCCATGGATGCTTCCTGGAGATCCCCGTGTCCCAAGAGCTGGTGGCCGTGTCCCCACGTCCCCAACCCGTGTCCCCCTGTCCCCCTCCCAGAGTTCTGCGAGAACCTGTCCCCCGACTGCCGGGAGGCCGTCATCATGGGCCAGATCCTGCCCTGCATCAAGGTAAGGGACACTTGGGGACACCTTGGGGACACCACGGGGTCGGGGGGACACCCTGGGGACACCAAGGGGTGGGGGGACACCACGAGGACACTCTGGGGTGGGTGGGAACATCCTGGGGACGCGGTGACGGTGGCATCACGGGCTCCATCTTGCGTTGCATCAAGGTGGGGACGCTCTGGGGTGGTGGGACGTCATGGGGGCACCTCGGGAACTCCCTGGGGACATCCTGAGGTGGTGGGACATCACAGGGACATCCCAGGGACCCCCAGGGGACATCTTGAGGTGGTGGGACATAGTGGAGACCTCCTGGGGACACCCCTAGGGCCACTGTGGGGTGAAGGAACATCATGGGGACACCCCTGGGGACCTCCTGAGGTGGTGGGACCTCTTGGGGACAACCTGGGGACACCCCTGGGGACCTCCTGAGGTGGTGGGACCTCCTGGGACACACCCGGGGATAACCTTGGGGACCTTCTGGGGTGGTGGGATCTCCTGGGGACACCCTGGGGACCTCCCGAGGTGGTGGGACATCATGGAGCCACCCCGGGGATAACCTTGGGGACCTTCTGGGGTGGTGGGATCTCCTGGGGACACCCTGGGGACCTCCCGAGGTGGTGGGACATCATGGAGCCACCCCGGGGATACCCTTGGGGACCTTCTGGGGTGGTGGGACCTCTTGGGGACACCCTGGGGACCTCCTGAGGTCGTGGGACATCATGGAGCCACCCCGGAGACACCCCTGGGGACCTTCTGGGGTGGTGGGACCACCTGGGGACACTCTGGGGACCTCCTGAGGTGGTGGGACCTCCTGGGGACACTCTGGGGACACCCCTGGGGACCTTCTGAGGTGGTGGGACCTCCTGGGGACACACCTGGGGACCTTCTGGGGTGGTGGGACATCACGGAGCCACCCCGGGGATACCCTTGGGGACCTTCTGGGGTGGTGGGACCACCTGGGGACACTCTGGGGACCTCCTGAGGTGGTGGGACCTCCTGGGGACACCCCTGGGGACCTTCTGGGGTGGTGGGACATCACGGAGCCACCCCGGGGATACCCTTGGGGACCTTCTGGGGTGGTGGGACCACCTGGGGACACCCCTGGGGACCTCCTGAGGTGGTGGGACCTCCTGGGGACACCCCTGGGGACCTTCTGGGGTGGTGGGACATCACGGAGCCACCCCGGGGATACCCTTGGGGACCTTCTGGGGTGGTGGGACCTCTTGGGGACACCCTGGGGACCTCCCGAGGTGGTGGGACATCATGGAGCCACCCCGGGGATAACCTTGGGGACCTTCTGGGGTGGTGGGATCTCCTGGGGACACCCTGGGGACCTCCCGAGGTGGTGGGACATCATGGAGCCACCCCGGGGATAACCTTGGGGACCTTCTGGGGTGGTGGGATCTCCTGGGGACACCCTGGGGACCTCCCGAGGTGGTGGGACATCATGGAGCCACCCCGGGGATAACCTTGGGGACCTTCTGGGGTGGTGGGATCTCCTGGGGACACCCCTGGGGACCTCCTGAGGTGGTGGGAC